GCCCCCTTCCATGAAACCCTTCCTTTATTTCTCAAGTATTGACTAGGAAAACTGCAGTGAATAATTGAGAGGAGTTTTGTCATCTTTACACTAACCTAGACATCTTGGCATTTATACACTACTTTGGACACACTATTTTTATGTGAGCCTTGACATAACATCCCTATATGAACCTCGACCAAGTATTTTTATATGAACCTGTACACATTCTCTTTGTATGAACCTGGACATGCTATCTTTTTGTGAACCTGGAATACTCTTTCTGCATTAACATGGATGTATTTTTGTACACTGACTTGGGTATCATCTTTGTAGCAACCTAGACTTATTCTTGGACGAGTTTACCAGGAAACATTGCAGCGTCATCAGCTGTCACATGGTTTTTCTTTCTGTCACTTTCTACCTTACTGCAAAGCTTCTGTGCTTTGTTTTTGTCTCCACATGTGTGGGACCCAGGGCTTTGTCACTGTCTCTGAAGAAGTGGTCCCTGCATTCTTTATCCTACTTCCTAGTGAAAATTTCTTCTTCTCTACTTCAGTACTGCAGACAAAATTAGTCATTTCTCTGGTTCTAGTATTTGATCCTAAGATACCTATGAATGAGCCAAAGTTTTATCAAAGAATTGTTAGAGGAATTTGCAGAAGTAAGTGCTGTCTATCATGGGAAAATAGATGATGTTATATTCTTATTGCAGGCCACCTCTTAACAACCTAACAACACACATCCAAGCCCGGGACACACACACACACACACACACACACACACACACACACACACACTCACATATCTCTTCCTTTTCTTCCAAACTGGTTTTTATCCACAGCTTTCGTGCAGGGGAATCATGCTTATGAAACACTGCATGCCACTCTGCATCTCCTGGGTGTGTCCTGTGGATTCACACAATTTGACTGGAAGAAAAGTTAGAAAGCGAGCATAACATTGGCTTGACCAGAATGAGGTTCAGAAAGACACGTACACTATTACATGCTGTGTACAATAATACCTGCCATTCAGGATCTTGAGAACTGATTAGAAATAGCTGAATCTCCCTCTACCAGAATTTACTATTAAATAAAAAGTCAAAAGATAATTATTTCTTCCTTTATAATTAAGCCTATGTCCAGCCGCATTGAAATACAATAATAGGTATGCTTTAGATTTTAGAGGTAAGGAAGCATCACCGAATCAGGCCCACTCCTAACTACCCAAGGCCTCTAAGCATATTTGCTCTGAGAAACAGAAGGACAATGGGCAGCTAGTTAGGGACTGAGATAGTGCCTAGGCGGGGAGCAGGCTTCTCAACACAGGAGGCAGAAACATGGAAGGAATTAGGGGCCCTGACTCACAGTCTGGTGTTTACTGAAGGCGCAGACCACACTCCAGTGTTTGAATTCGTGGTCAAATACCTTCAAACATAACTAACCAAAGGGACTGAGAGGAAGTCGGGCCACTTGGGGAAAAGCCTTAGGAACTTGAACTGCTTCAGTGGTTGTTAAGCATCTCCCAGAATTATGGTAGCACGTTAACTTTATTTTACTGTATCATAAAGTCAACAAAACCCAGGCACAGAGCTCTGTGGACAGGACTGTCATGTCTTAAAAGTGAACTCAGAGCATTGTTTGGGGAGCTAACTTCTACCCCAAAGAAAAGACAACGCTGAACCAAAGAAATGCAAACCACAAAAATGTAAAGTGGGCGATTGAAAGGCAGAAAACAAATACTTTAGTAATCTATAGAACACCAGTGGCCAGACAGGGCTACATAAAGAGGGAGAAGATTAGTTTTATTAAGAATCTCCATAATACCCACATTCCAAAAATCAGAACCTAGACAAGGATTTAGGCCCTTGTAGTTGACAAATGAGATCTGGGACATACATGAGGGCTGGGAGGTGACATAGAGAGGAGCAGAAGCAACGTGAGCACCTCCTCCTGAGTGCACAGTGGGCACCTGGCTGCAGGTTCTCTGAGACTTCCCAGCAGCCCCCGGCTCGCCTCCCACAGTATTGCTGCCTCATAGCTTGGAATCTGGAACCTGTGACCCTGGCTTGCTGCCCTGTGATTGAAAATTGCCCAAGGGCTTTAACCCCACCACTCCTGCTTTTGATTGTACTGCTGTTATGGAGTGGGGTGGGGCTCTCTGGCAAGGTGCTCCTGGGGGGCGGCTACCAGGGCAAGGTGAATCTGAACGTTCAGGGGCTCTCTTGTTGTGACTGAAGCTGAAAGGAAGCGTGGGACCTGTGATCCAAAGAACAATGCATGAATACCGTTGTCTGGCTCTCACATAGCTTAGTTTCTTTGGCGTTCTCAGTCACTTTCCTCCTTGCTGGGAGGAAAACCCAACAGCCACAACTTAACGGATGATGAGTTTATTTAAGCTCATGTTTTTCTCTATGATCAGCTGACTCCAAGGGAGAGCTACTTGTTCCGTGGTAGCCAGGAAGCCGAGAGAGGAGGAGGAACTGGGAGGGTGAAGCATCCTTCCAGAGAAGGCAGTGATGCTTTACTGGAAGGAAAATGCTTTATTTCCCAGGCCCATGCATATATCCTGGCTCCATGTACCGGCTTTTGCTGGAATGTGTGCACCCATCCTGGGAATGGAGTCTGTTCCTCTGAGTGTCACATACGATCAGGTGCACTGCAGCTGGAGGAAAATGTCAGTGCTTACCAGGGTCTGTCTGCAGTATCACCATGATGGATAGAAATCTGCTCTGTACATCTATTTCTGTAAAATCCGTCAATACTCCCTTCCCCAAAATATCTCTTGTCCGTCCCAAAACCTGTTTCCAAAATAATCCCCAAACTAGCTTTGCCTCCCCTAGCTTTCCTTTCAATTCTTTTAACCATCCCTTTTTTTAGCTCTTGATTTCAACAGACTTTTTGTGGGTATATCTTCTAATAAAAGTATTTTTTTTTGTATTTTTAAAATTAAATTAATTTAGGTCTTTGGCTCCTTCCAGACTTCAGGGTGATCTTTCCCCGAGCCAGCACAATGAAAACCTGGGAATTCTCCAGCTCTGTCCATAGATGGGAGAGAAAGGAAGCATCACAGAGAACAGATGCTCATAAACATGCCTGTTCCTGGTGCATCCACTTACACCTAAAGCTCTGGAACACGCAGTGCTCTGGATATCTACTTCTTAGGTATTTCTGACTCCTCACGCCCTGAGGAAGCAGTGCTGCCCTTTCGTCAGAGCGGCCCGACACTGGCAGTGACCCACCGGCTGCAGGGCTCTGTTCCCTCTTTCCCGCACAAGTGCAGGAAGGCTGAGTGTGTGCCTCCAGGCCTGTGTTACTCATCCTCCATCATTCTTTACTTGTGCTTATCCACATGCACAGATCAAACTTCATCTTTCTTACTCCATCTCTTCACAAAGTTTTGCTTCTTTACAGTAAAACTTTTGCAATAGTATACAATACTTTGCATGGTGGAAGATGATGGGGTAATTGTATAATTCTCCATGTCTGTAGTCCAAGTTCTTTAAATTCTCTTCAGAAGAATGACAAGATTTCTCAGTATCATGGTGGCCAGAAGTACCAATTCCTACTTCAAGGGCAAGTTGTAAGTATTCTTTTTTTTTTTTTTTTTTTATCTCAAAGAGGGTAAAACTAAACACAACAAAACAGAACAAAGCAGATCAGATGAAAAAAATGTAAGTGACATAGACTCCAAAGAAACAGGAGATCTACAGTGGCTACCATAATGTTTCTTGTTTTTTTCTAAATAGTTGCCCATATCTTTACATACAATGCATTCATAAAGAACAAAATAGTACTAAACTGATCAGAACAGAGTAATGAAGGGATTACAGGCCTTCAAAACCTGACAATAGGAAAATCAACAATGGATTCCATAATGCCTCTTCTTCTCTTCAAAATAACTGTCCATACTTTCATGTATGTTGAATTTAAACAACCCAAAACAGGCTAAAATCACCATGAACAAAGAATAAAAGCATTACTGGATTCCACAGCATCACAATATGGAATCAGCAATGGATACCATAATGTCTGTTTTTCTTCAAAGTAGCTGTTCATTTCATCACACGTAATATAATCGATTCTCATAAACTATTTAGACGTTCTAGGCATATGCTAGCCTCTACATATATATCTATCCTTTCTGTATTAGAGGAAAAAACAAAATAAAACAGATTATTAGAAAAACACAACACAGGGGCTGGGGATTTAGCTCAGCTACATAAGCGCCTGCCTTGCAAACAGGTGGTCGTGAGTTCGATCCCTGGAACCAATAAAAAGGAAAAAGACAAAAAAAAAAAAAAAAAAAAAAAAAAAAAGCAATAACAAAGAGCCCAAAACAGTGACCATACAGGCCTTCAAAACAAGGTGAGAATTTTTGCATCTTTGTTCATTAGGGAGATTGGCCTGTAGTTTGCTTTTTTGGCTGTGTCTTTCTTTGGTTTTGGTACTAGAGTAATATTTGCTTCCAGGAATGAGTTAACGAGAATTGCTTCTCTTTCAATTTCATTGAAGAGTTTGAAGAGTGTTGGCATTAAGTCTTCTTTGTATTTCTTGTAGAATTCCACAGAGAATCCATTTGAATTCATCCACAGTGAAGCCCACCTGGGCTTTTCTTTGTTGGTAAAGTTTTAATTCCATTTTCAATTTCATTAATAGAATTTGGGTTATTCAGAAGTTTTACATCTTCTTGACTCAGCTTTGATAACTCATATGTTTCTAGGAATCTGTCCATTTCTTCTGTTATTAAGCCTATGAGAGTAGAGGTTTTTGAAATAGATATTGATGATCTTCTATATTTCCACAGAGTCTGTAGTGATTTCACCTTTTTCATTCCTTATTGCATGAATTTGAGTTTTTTCTTTCCTTTTTAAAATAAGATTGGCTAGGGGTTTATCAATTTTATTTATTCTTTCAAAGAAATAACTTTTTTATGTAAAAAATTTATTTAAAGAGAAAAAAAAGTAAAAGGGTACAAGTAATACAGAATTTCAAAAAAACATAAACAGTAAGAAATCACTAGTTAATAGATTACATAGCCATTTTAGAAATAGTTGTTCAAGTTACAAAATTAAAGCATACAAAGTGGACATTAAACAGTGAGACTGCAAACAGTTGTGTTCAATGATCCAACAAAAACTAAGTAATATGGTCATCTATCTTACACACCTAAACACACTTGCAGTTGTATCCTTTAGAGCACTTTCTTTTCCTCTCTTTTTTACAATAACATTTACACATTTTGGGCTTTATTACTCCCACAGTTCTTATTACTTTTTTTTTTTGAAAGAGAGTAAAACCAAAGATGACAAAACAAAGCAGTCAGTCAAAACAAAGGATGAACATAGTACATGATGTAAAAACAGAATACAATGTAATCAACAATGGTTACCATAATGCCTCTTGCTACCTTAAAAAGAATTGCCTATATCATCAGGTATAATAAAATTGTAAAAAACAATATAGAACAAAACCAATAAAACCTAAACATTGGAGACATTACGGAACTTCAAAAGAAGATAATAGTCAAAGCAGAATGGGCATCATAGTGAATCTTATTGCCTTCAAAGTAATTGCCTGTACCCTCAAAATTGATATTATCAAACAGAACAGAATAGAGTAAAATCAGTCAAAACAAGATGGTGAGAGCAATACAGGGCTTCAACTCAAGTTAACAGGAAATCAAAAAAGTTACCATAATATATACTGCTAATTTTTAAAAATTTTTCCCTTAATTAAAAAATAATGATCAAAAGTAAATAAATTTTTAAAAAGGGGGAGATTGAGATAAAAGAGGACATAACAACATAACAATACAGGTCAGAACAGAACAATTTAAGCCACATAGTGTTTCACGACAAGATAACTCGACTTAATAGTGGTTACCATAGTGTCTCTTTTCTTGAAATATTTGAATATAACTTTGTATACTATAGCATCAAACATATCAAGACAGTGTGAAACCACTCAAGAGGATGAAAGCATTACAAGGTATTTAGAACCAGCTAACAGAAAATCAACAATGGTTTCTATATTATCTCTTTACCTATAAAAATTTTGTTTATACTATCACATATAATAAAATCCAAGAATATACAACATGATAAAAGCAATGGAGACAGAAGATCAACAGTTTGATGGAACTTCAAAACAAAATGATATTAAATCAGCACTAGCTATTATGATGTCTTGTTTTCTTCAAAATAGCTATTCATATCATCACAGACAATAATATCAAGCAGCCCAGAATAAAACCATTCCAGTAAATGAGTGAAAACTTTATAAGGCTTCAAAGCCATATAATGGGAATTACCACATACTTTTATGTATTTATATCATTTCTTACACTAGGGAAACTTTGGTGTTCATACATGTGAGTTTGATGTATTTCACTTATGAGTATGGTCTCAACCTCCATTTATTTATAAATATCTCAATGTGATCCTTCTTTATAGCTGAGTAGTACTCCATTGTATAAAAATACCACATCTTTTTTATCCATTCCTCAGTTGATGGACACTTAGGTTGTTTCCAAGATCTTGCTACTACAAATTGTGCTGCTATAAACATGGGTGCACATATATCACTGTGGTACGATGTTTTCAGTTCTTCTGGGAATATGCCTAGAAGTGAAATAGCTGGAACAAATGGGACTTTCAATCCCAGCTTTTTGAGAAATCTCCAGACTGACCTTCACAATGGTTGCACCAGTCTACACTCCCACCAACAGTGCAGGAGAGTTCCTTTTTCCCCACAGCCTCTTCAGCATTTGTCTTGGTGGTTTTTTTGATCCTGGCTATTCTTTTAGGAGTGAGATGAAATCTCAGTGTGGTTTTGATTTGCATTTCCCTAATAACCAATGATGATGAACATTTTGTCATGTATTTATTTGCCATTTATATTTCTTCATCTGAGAAGTGTGTATTCATCTCAGATGCCCATTTTTGGACTGGATCTTTGAATTTTGGGGGTCTGATTTTTTAAAAAATTCTTTATATGTTTTAGAAAGGATTCCTTTGTCTGGGGGGACAGTTCACTAAGATTTTTTCCCAGTTTGTGGGTTTTCTTTTCACTATGCTGGAGATTTCTTTTGACATGCAGAAACATTTTAATAAGAGGTGATCCCAGTTATTGATTCTGGGAAGTATTTCCCAGGTGGTTTGAGTCCTGTTCATGAATTCTCTGTCTACTCCTATGTCTTCAAGGTTTTTACCAAATTTGTCCAATAGATTTAGTGTTTCTGTTTTAATATTTAGATCTTTGATCCATTTAGATTTTAATTTAGTACATGATGACAGACATGGGTCTAGTTTTAGTTTTCAGCATGTGGAGTGCCAGCTTTTCCAACACCATTTATTAAAGAGACTGTCGTTCTTCCATTGTTTGACTCCTTTATCAAAGATAAGGTGGTTGAGTGTGTTTGTAGTTGTGGTTGTACCTTCTAATCTATTCCATTGATCTTCGGCTCTGTTTTGATTTCAGTACTTTGTTGATTTTACTACTGTTGCTTTGTAGTATAACTTCAAGTCAGGGATTGTGATGCCTCCTACCTTGCGTTTGCTGCTTAGAACTGTCTTTGCTATTCTAGGTCTCTTCTTGCTCCAGATGAATTTTGGGAGTGATTTCTCTAGATCTATGAGATATGTTGATGGTATTTTTATTGGGATTGCATTGAATATGTATAAGAGTTTTGGGAGAATGGCCATTTTCACAATGTTTGTTCTTCCTATCCATGAGCAAAGGATGTGTTTCCATTTTCTGAGATTGTCTTCAGTTTCTTTTTTCTGTGTATTATAATTTTCCCTGTATAGGTCTTTCATGTATTTCATGAGAGGAATTCCTAAGTATTTCAATTTTTTGGTTGCTAGCATGAAGGTTGTGGCTTCTCTTATTTCTCTCTTTGTGATTTTATTGTTAGTGTATAGGAATGCTATTGATTTTTGAGTATTGATATTGTATCCAGCTATATTACTGAATTTATTTATTATATCTAAGAGTCTTTCAATGGAGTTTTGGGTGTCTTCTATGTAGAGTATCATGTCATGTGCAAACAATAATAACTTCTTCTTTTCCTATCTTTACCTCTTTTATTTCTCTCTTGTCTAATTGCTCTGGCTAGTATTTCCAGTACTATATTAAATAGGAGTGGTGATAAAGGACATACTTGTCTTGTGCCTGATTTTAAAGTAAAGACCTTCAGTTTTTGGCCACTTAGTATGATACTGGCTGTTGGTTTGTCATTGATGGCCTTTATTATGTTGAGGTAAAGACCATCCATTCCAATTTTCTGTAAAGTTCTTATCATAAATGAATGTTGGACCTTATCAAAACTTTAGCATCTATAGAAATGATCATATGATTCTTACTTTTGGCTTTATTGATATGGTGGGTTACATTTATTGATTTACGTATGTTTAACCATCCCTGCATGCCTGGAATGAGTCCCACTTGGTCATGGTATATAATCTTCTTGATGATTTGTTGCACCCTATTTTGCCAATATTTTATTGAGGAGTTTTGTATCTGTGTTCATTAGGGAGATTGGTCTATAGTTCTCTTTTTTAGCTGGGTCTTTCTCAGGTTTTGGTAGTAGAGCAATATTTGCTTCCAGGAATGACTTAGGAAGAATTGCTCCCCTTTCAATTTCATTGAAGCTTTTGAGGAATGTTGGCGTTAAGTCTTTTTTGTATTTCTTGCAGAATTCTGCAGTGAATCCATCTGGGCCTAGGCTGTTCTATATAGGTAAGGACTTAATTATGTTTTCAGTTTCATTAATAGAAATTCAGCAGTTCCACTTCTTCTTGACCTAGCTTTGATACTTCATATGTTTCTAGGAATCTGTCTATTTCTCTTGTGTTATCAAACCTTTGAGAGTAGAGGTATTAGAAATAGGTGTTGATGATCTTCCGTATTTCTACAGAGTCTCTAGTGATTTGGCCTTTTTCATTTCCTATTCCATGAATTTCACCTTTTTCTTCCCCTTTTTTTTAGTACGGTTGACTAGAGGCTTATTGATTTTATTTATTCTTTCAAAGAATCAACTCTTTCATTGATTCTTTGGGTTGTTTTCTTAGTCTCTATTGCATTCATTTCTGGTCTGATTTTTGTAATTTCCTCTCTTGTTTTGGCTTTGGGCTTGACTTGCTCTTCTTTTTGTAGATGTTTGAAGTGTAACATAAGGTTATTTTTTTGTATTTGTTCTGTTTTCCTGATGTGAGAACTCAGTACAATAAATTTTCCTCTGAGGACAGCTTTCATTGCATCTCACAGATTCTGGTAAGTTGTATTTGTGTTTTTGTTTGCTTTTAGGTATTGTTTAATTTCCCCTCTGATGCACTGATTACTCAAGAGTGTGTTATTAAGTTTCCATGTGTTTGTGGGGTTTTTGCAGTATCTTTTAACATTAATTTCTAATTTTATAGTGCTATGATCCAATAACATGAAAGGGAAAATTTCAACTCTTTTGTATTTATTTAAATAGTTTCTGTGAGCTAATATATGGTCTATTTTAGAGAATGATTCATGTACTGCTGAGAAGAATGTGTATTCTGTTGTTGTTGGGCAGAATACTCTGTATATGTCTATTAAGTCCATTTGTTCACAGGTATGATTCTGTTCTTTTATTTTTTTGCTGATTTTCTGTGTGGTCGATCTGTCCCTTGGTGTCAATGGTGTGTTAAGGTCTCCTGTTATAATTATCTTACTGCTAATTTGGTTTTTCATTTCTTTTGATACTTATTTTATACAACTGGGTGCTCTGGAGTTTGGTGCAGATATATTTAAGATAGTTATCTCTTCCTCTTGAAGTTTTCCCCTAACCAGTATGTAGTGATCTTCTTTATCCCTTCTGATCATTATTGGTTTCAAGTTCACATTGTTTGCAAACAGAATGCTATTCCCGCTTTTTTTTTTGTTCCTGTTGTATGAAGTATTGTTTTTGACCCTTTGACTTTCAGTCTGTGAGTATCCTTTTGGGTTAGATGGGTTTCTTTTAGACAGCATATGGTTGGGTTTTGTTTCTCTGGCCACCCAGTTACCTGGATTGATAGAGGGTCACTGGGGGTGGCATAGTCAAAAGGGAGTGGAAGACCACTACCTCTTGCTGATCCAAGGCCAGAAATGCTGCAAAGTATCCTTCAACACACAGCACAAGACACCTGTCACTAAATGTCAGTAGTGCTAAGGTTGAGAAACCCTCTTGTGAGATAAGAAAAAAAAAAAAAAAAACCCATGCATTTCCATTAATGGTCCTGCTGTGTGGAAATTCTACTTTCTTTGATTTTTGTAATCACTTCACTTTGTGCAACATCGTCCCCCTGCATTCTGTATTTGCAGGGTGCAGGCTGAACTTCCTGTGGTTCCGATGGTCGCCCGCTTATCTCTGGATTAAGGCTGACACCAGGTATCAGAGGTCCTGGGGAACTGTAAGTCATCCTTGATTATAAGAAACTCAAATTTGTTCCACAAGTTCCTGATGAATATTCTTAAAAAAGATTTTTCAGATCCTATCACTTATTTATTTATTTATTTATTTATTTATTTTTTTGTTATCAGTACTGGAGTTTGAACTCATGACCCCCTGCTTGCAAGGCAAGTGCTCATGCTGCTGAGCTAAATCCCCAGCCCCTTATCACTTATTTTTAAATTTCTATCTTGAGAAGAGTTCTACTTTTCTTCCACAGTATAGATGTAGGTTATTCACCTATCTTTGTAAAACCTTTCCCTAGTAGGTTATTTCATTTTCCTTCTGATTTACAAGACAAATGCTTGTCTAACAGTCAGGAAAGTGGTGTTCAAAATTATGTTGTAGCCTCCAGCTGCTCCTGTATGTGGTAATCATTGCACACCCACATGCACACACAGACACACACACACACACATGTAGTGCATAGAATAATTTCACTTTGTGTGTTTCATGGTAATCTTGGTCATGAAGAGATGTGAATTCCACTATCTAGTTTGATTTGGGAAGAGAAGCTGTCACTCAGTAAGGAACAACATTCCCCAAAGAGGCTCTTCTTTCCAGGATCCTGGGAGGGCAACATCCAACCGCGGAGGATTCCAGCAGAAAATGCATAACACACATCACAGACTCTCACTCCCTCTCACCGCAGTCTTGAAGACAGTATTTGATTAGCATTTATTTCAAAGCTATGTTGAAACACTTAAAACAGACCTGCAAAAAGAGAGAAATAAACATTGACAGTTCCTGCACATAGCAAAGTCTGCTCCCTTGAAATGCTGCATACTCATTCTGCAGTAGGTACTTATTGGCAGCTATTAAGATGAGCAGAGTGTTTTTAAGGAAAGTCACATTGCATTACTGAAGAGTCTAAGGGAAATTACATACTTTTCTAACTGCTCTGTTTCTGTTGCAACATCAAAACACAGTCCCAAATATCACATTTCCATCACCCAATTCCTGTTAATGATACCTTGGAAGATTAAAGGCCACAGAACAACTGTACAAGATTGTTTTAAATAATGTCAAAGTGTTATTCCTAAAATATATACATAATTAGAAAAAATAAATCCTGTGCTGCAGTCCCCAATCCCTGATTTGCCCCTGGAAAACCTCAAGGTAATTCATAAATTAAGAAATACTATTTTAACCACTGTTCATGTGGTTCCAACAGACTCACCATAATGACCTAAAATATTCTTTGGCATTTGATTTCTTAGTGCAGAGGAGAATGTGGTGGGAAGGCTGTACTGTCAGGCTCTTGTTCCAGGGCTCATGGTTTACTAACTGTAAATGCCAGTGTGTCTGAGGCTAGCCCCGTTGCGGCTGCTCGGCCACGCTCTGCAGACCACGGCTGGTCCCTGGTGATTTCCACTATCTGATGGTCTGTTTAGATTTCTGTGGATTTGATTTATTCTGTGGACATGAGCCTCGAACCAGTCCAGATGAAAGGAATGGACTGAATTGTGATTAGTTTGATGGGGACAGTGCAGCAGCAGACAGTGATGGAAACCAAGGTCAGCAGGCAGGGGAGACCCACAGGCATCAACACTGCATCCATGAAACTCTGCGAAACTGGCACTTCTCTCTTCATACGAAACTTGGGGGAGCCAGGTGTAGTGGTGAACACCAGGGATCCCAGCCCTCGGGTGGCCAAACCAGGAGTATCACTGTGAGTTAGAGGCAGCTTGGGCTACATAGTGAATTCAGAGCTGGCCTGAACTACACAGCAAGACCCTGTCTCAAAACAACACAAAGAAAAACAAAACATCAAACAAAGAAAAAAAAACAACTCATAGATAATCCTGATAATCACAATAAAATTGACCTCCAAGTGTGAAAATACTTGTATCATTAATCATGAAATTAATTCATTTTTTTGTAGCCACCGAAGTTTTAAATACAGTGAATTTCCACTTGGTATGGCACTGATTCCACATCTTGTGAGGCAGACAGTGTTCGTGGGCTGCATGCTTTGCACATTTATATGAGCCAGGGAACTGGGAATGCACAAAACTGGTTTTTGTCACTGAAGAGCTCATTTTAGTTAGAGCAGCTTGTACAATACAGGTGTGAATAGGACTTCAAGGGGCTCCAAAGCTACCCTTACTTAAACTTCACACTTGTTATTAGCACCCTGCAAGCAAAGCAGTGTTAGGTTGTGTATCTGGATATCCTCTAAAGGCCCTCATGTGCTCAAAAGCATGACTTTTTGGAAGATGATTAGACCAAGGGAGCTCTCTAGCTAAATGTGTTGTTGGGGGCCGGCGCCGGGAGGAGGTGATCACGGGAGATGGGGCCTGGGAGGGCGTATCTCCCTGGCCCCTCCTCTCACTGTGCCCTCCCACTCGGAGCCTTCTGGCTTGGACCTAACCCCCTAAAATCTGCACCTCCCTTATGCAGCAGGGTCAGGTGTTGGGTCCCAGTGAGAGGGAGTGGCTGAGACATAAACCCTGAAGCCACCGTGATGGTTAGCTGATCACATCTACAGAGTGCACATGTAACTGCTGGCAGTTACTCTCATCATGAAAACGGCTTCCCCTAGCCGTGGTTTGAGCAAATGGCGGGCGCCACAGGGGGATAACCAGCCAGCGTCTCCCGAGATCCGTGCCCATGTTGGAATTTAGGGCATTAGGAAACAAAGGAACCTGCTCACTTCCCTGTTAAGCAGCCGTGAGCCTACTGCTGCACAGGCGTAGACTCAAAGACACGCACACCCCGTCCACCCGGTTAGCAAATGGGAGCCAGCGGTCTGAGCATCTCTTGGGAGGCTTACCACATACAGTATAGCAAATAGGGAGGATTTCCTTCTACCATCTCTTTGAAGGCAAATACTGTTATCACTGTTTTGTTTTGTTCTGATTAATTGCATTACTCTATTCAATATTCTGTTTTGATTGGTTTTATTCTGTTTTGTTTTTGGTTTGGTTTTGCTATGCCTGAATGAATGGACAACTATTGTGAAGATAAGGAGATTTCACTATGGTACCTATTATGTTATCCCAGTAACCTGCTGTGACGTTCTGTACCAATTTTACTGCACTATCTCAGTTGGCTTTGTTCTGTCTTGTTCTGTTGTATTTTACTACCTTCAAAATAATAACAATTTTTTTTTAAAAAAGAAAAGAAAACCTTTTCACTTTTCTCCTTGGTTGTTGGACAATGACAGCTATTGTTCAGTGGATGCCTGCCACATACTGCATATTTTGTGCAAATAACACTTCATCCAATCCTCCCCCTTTGAAATAGTCACTAATCATCCTGATTCATAGATAGGAAACAATTTTCATAAACTTAATATTTTTCCCAATTTTGGCTCCAGTAATTGCAGAGCAAAAATTCAAGCTTTTCTTCAGTCTTACAGTCTTCTGGGTAGATTGCACTAGGAAAAACTGGGGTGAGCTGCTTTATTTTCCAGGGGCCTCACTTTCGTTCCACCCCTTGCTCTCCTGTGGAGCTAAGATAAACACTGAAATAGAGAGGCACTGATCACCTGCAGGACACTGAAACATTCATGAAGTCAGTTCAGTGCATTTTTCTCACATTTTTTTCTTTTTCCATTTTGTTTTTAGAGAAGACAACTTTGTAACCCTCAGTGAATGGAGAAAATGTCTTTGAAGGTAACGTCTCCCAGATTTTATGATCTTCAGAAAAATCTGCATTTCCAAGCTTGCCATGTCACAGGGGTAATGTGATCATTCTAGGGCACTCAGCAATCAGGAGGGGACCAGCATATCGGCAATATATCACTTTTTAAAATACAAATAATGCATAGCTGACTGGCTGTGGAATCATATTCTGCTAATCTCAGCGATCTAATCTCACTTTGGGCAGTTTAATGACTTAATGAAAACTTAACTCAAAATAAAAAGGGAAAAAGCCTAGAGATGTAACTCAATGTGAAGGCTCAGTATTGAAAAAGAAGGCACAGCTAAAGTCTGTCAGGTACCATGACTGTTCCATACAACCCTAATTATTTCATTCACTTTCTGGAATAGCTATGTGAGGTATTACTTTGCATATACGCACATGAGGAAACTGAGACCCAAAGGATTTAAATAAAATGTCCACAGCGACAAAATTAGTAAAAATGACAGCCACATATAGATCTTGACTCCTCAAACATTCCATTATACTGTTTCCCAATCTCTTTATAGAGAACTTGAGAATAGAACCATTGTGTATCCTGCTGACGCTCTGTGCACTGTATGATATTAAACTATCACTAAAAGTTTATGCTTTTCACTTTGTCATCCATAATTAAAATATATAAGAAGAAATGCCTAAGTGGCTAGTAATGGCTACTTCTGGGTTAGACCATGAGATGTGTCTGGTGTGTCTGGGTGGGGTCATGAACTTTGGCTCTGTATCTGGTCCCTGGCCCCTTCCTCTCTGTCTCTGCTTCCTGGCTGCCGTGAAACGGAGCATCTTCCCTCCACCAAGCCTTGCACGATGCTGTTCTTGCCATGGGGCTGCTGATATCCCTTGAAATTCAGAGCCAAGTGTAATCTCTCCTCCTATAAGTCATAGGTGTCCTGCACTGCATCCCAGGTACTGGGAAGCTGACTAATACGTATGGTGCATTTTCACTATTTATTCTATGGGTATTTCTTTTAGATTCCAAGTTGATCACTTTTTTTAACCACAAAAATATAATATTGACATTTCTGTGTTAAAGTTTTTGTGCAGTTATTAAAAATTATCTTTTAGGATACAGTGTTAGAAGTATAATTCCTTCGCCATTGGCTTGGTTACTTTTCTCTCATTGCTGAGAAAAAATACCAGACACCCAAAATTAGGAAAGGAAAGGTTTATTTAGCTCACAGCTTGTGGAGGTTTCAGTTGATAATCAGCTGACTCCAAGGCAGGGTGGCGTGGCCCATGGGCAACACTTCTAGATGCCAGAAGCAGCAAGAGCAAAAAGAGGGAAGAACAAGTCTCTTATCCTCCCTTGCATTGTAAGCAGGCTACACCTACCAGGGCAGATGCAGCATTCTCACGGGCTCTGTGCCCTCCTCTTGCACAGTCCCAGGATGTGTGCAGAGTAAGGACCCTGACTCCCTGCTGAGTTGCTTCCTTAAACTTCTAAACTTCTCAAATTGACACAATGTATCAACCGTAACAGCCATGAGCCGGCTTTATTTTAAAGTTCCAACATGCTTTGATGAAAACTTTATCTAGAATATTCCCGGAGTCCTGGAGGACTTTTACTTCTTGACGTATTCTGTTTACAGTCACTCAGAGGATGAGTGAATTTCCAAACACAGCCATGTCATTGGTTTAACAAGCTAATATACTGTTTACAGTTTTTGTGCTGTTTTCTCTCAAGCCTAGAGTGGAGGCTTCAGACTCTTCAGTGTTCCCTGGAAGCAGAGCTTTGTAGGCTGCTCACTCAGACAGCAGCCAGCTCTTCCTAAATATGCTCACGCCTCCCTCCTCTAGGCTATTGTATTCTCTCTGCTCCTGTGTTAGTCAAACATGGCTTCTACCTCTTGCTTACAGCTAGATCTTTTGCTTCCATGGCACCTCTAGTTCTAAAAAGTTGCTCTTTTTCTTTTCTTTCTCCTGAGTCCCAAAGTTTTGCATTCCAATTCAGCCTAGTATCCTCCCACACCCCTTGATTAACCCACCCCTTCCCCTTAGTGCTGAGTTTTTGGTAAAGGCTTTACGTGGAATAGTTGTGTAACACATAATACTAGGCAAGAGGGGGAGAGAAAATCTTCCAAACCACAGATTCTCAACAAGGCCTAACTTGAAAAGCATTCAAGATCTACAGATAAACAGGACTGGACTCTTCTCATCCTACCACCGACTGTAGCTCAATCTGTAGTAAATTTACTGTGACGAGTTCCACATTTGAATCTCGTGCTCATTGCCAAATCTACATTGCAAATAAGAAAACTGAGTAGCAGAAATTAGTCAGCAAATAACATTTAAACAAAGACCAGGAAGAACTCAGTGATCTGCAGAGGAGACATGGGAACCTTCAGAGCGCATTACCTGCCAGAGGCACTGCCCACCACCCACCACAGCTTCCTGTGGAGCAGAAAGTCTGGAATTGGCCCTAGAAATTGGAATCTGAGGGCACAGAGTGAAGCTCAGAGCCAGCAGTGAACAGAAAATCCAGGATCTAATAACAATCTTGACAATGACCTTGCTTGTCTGCAACAGTTACTTTAACTTTTATTTCTTAGTAGCAGGAGTTAACTATGATGACCCTATATAAAGTAAAAAAGGATTCATCTGGGTCATGTTTATCTGAGCTAAAGGGAGGAACAGAAGTAAATCACAGTTCAGTTTACAGCCCTATCATCTTCATTATGGCAAGGGAGTGGGTTTTTGGGAAAAAGGCAAAAATCATTGCAAAATTCTAGCACACATTATCTGAGGTGATCTCAAAACATTGGCCTGCTGATGGAGGCATTACCTAAGATCAAAGCCTTGTGAAAATTGTATTCTGTGACATTGCATCCCTTAGATGTTCACATGTCATAAAAAGAAAATTAGAACTCATTCAGTCAACTTCTTATTGACAGATATTTGAAACCAGAGGCAAGGGAAGATAGTCTTGCAAAAACACTTTTTACTTTATTTTATTTTATTTTAAAGATAATAAACTACAACAAAACATGACAGAACAAAGCCAATCAAGACAATGCAGTGAAATTGGTACAGAACTTCAGAGCAGGAAACTAGGATAACAATAACATACCATAGTATATCTTGTTTTCTTCACAATAGTTGTCCATTCCATTAGATATAGCAATGCCAAAACAGAATAAAACCAATCAAAACAGAATATTGAGTAGAGCAAAACAATCAGAGCAAACAGTATCAGTATGAGAAAACAATCAGAGCAAAACAACTAATCAGAACAAAGCAAAACAGTGAGAACAGTATTGGACTTCAAAGAGAAGACAGAAGGAAATCCCCCATATTTGCTATATTACATACTGTCATCCTCCCAAGAGAGGCTCAGACCGCTGGCCCAACATCAGCATAATCAACCCCACAATACAAGCACTTAGTTGCTTTATGTACCTTAGTTGCTATCAATTCAGGCTGACCTTGGAAACCACTGGTTGCTAACTAATGGGTGGATGATGCTTGATTCTAAGCCCATGTGCAGGTAGGCTTATGGGGGACACTGACTTTTCTTCCCCTGGCATGCCCTTGGCTTGAGCCGCTTATCAGGAAGGCTGGCTCGTTGCTTTCTTGGTTGATCCCCCCAAAATATTTTTTAAAATTTAGGGCTTATCATTAGTAATATTTCTTAGCAAAGATAGCATCCTAGCAGAGCACAAGTGGTTGGGGATACAACAGAGAAGAGATGGGGAGTCAAAGTACAGAGAGTGACAGCTTAGAATACAAGATTCACTGCAACAAAAGCGACTTGACTGGAATCAGAAACTTGACTTTGAGTAAGAAAAATTGGAAGGCAAAGTGGAGTAATGGAATTACTAGACTTTACAGTCAAATAGACTAAATAAAATCTATCATAAATACAATTTTGTGATGAGAGATGATGGCAGAAAATTGTTTGGGAATAAAAACTGCTAGCCAAAGCAGTTTTTGATAGAGGATATTCTTTCCAGTCTAGCATGGTAATTGTTATTCTTATGTGAAAGAGGGAAGTAGATCTATCTGAACAGATCTTGATGGACTATTAAACCAGTGCATGAAAAGCTGTGCTACAAGGGAAAGCCAAATGCATACTTTTTTCCTTGATAGAGAACAAGGTAATAAAATATTAGACTGAAGGTCTGGTTTTGCATCAGCTCCCAACTTACAATGGGATTATTTTCGAGTTTATATTTTAGTTTTTGGGATGTTTCCTTCACAAGACTAATGTTCTAGATGTAAAAATTATTTTATTGACTATGGAATAGCATCTGCACACACACACACACACACACACACACACACACACACCTGCACTCTAATCCCACATGTGAGGCCATACTACATGGCATAGCCTACACTAGGGTGCTAGAACGCGGAAACAACCCATGAGCAATGGCTATGAGCTAAACTAGTGGCCTTAAGAAATTTGCTTAATTTCTATGAACGTTATTTTACTTATTTGAAAATGGAAATGGTAATTATGTTACAGAGTACTTGTAAACACTAAGTAAGGCGACATAGGCAAAAGTCCTGTGTACACAGAAATACACTGCAAAAATGTCACCTGTGTGCTCTAGCCCTTTATGGTTTACTTATGTGATTTGGATTGTGAACTGAAAACACTTGCATACACTAGGTGTTGCTTCCAGCATCCCCAGTAAGAGGAATCATTTTATGGCACAAAAGACTGCAGCTGACTAGCCTAGCTGCACGGTATTATCCAGCACATCTGGACAACAGCAAATTTCTTAATCCCCTTCCTTCCCTTTCCCATATCTGTTGATCGTTGTGCCCAGAAATCACCCTATGCCTCCTCTGACTCCTCTGGTGACCTTATATATTATTTTTGGCATAATGTCTTCCTTAGTCACATAACTGCCTGGACTCTATCCAAAACCCTTGGAGGCTGAGGCAGTGGGGACTGAGCAACTCAATGCTTCAGGGAGCTCTTGTCTTAAAACTAAAAGTGGGGGTAAAGAGCCCTGGGAATGGAATTCAGTGCAAAAGTCCTAGGTTCAATCACCAGTGTTGAAAAAAAATAGAAAGAAAGAAAAAATGTCCAATGATACTTAAGAAGGTCCTGTTAAGGAGTCATTCGGGGTCTTCACTGCAGGTGGAGAGACACCGATTACATTCAATACAGCACGAGGAAGTGGGGTTTTACAGCCAAAGAGTAGTCTGGAGGCCACTGTAGGGAACATTACTAAGAGGAAACATCATGAGTAAGGGTCCCTGGCAAAGCTGACCTAACTGGATCCCAGGTGCAGGGACACCAGAGTGATCAGACATCGAATGGGGAGCAGGAGAGGGCGAGGACACTGGTAGGGAATGGGTAGTGGTCCAATGAGGGCAAGGATTCCTTGCTTAGAAGTAACAAAGTCTCTCTCCTCAAGAGAGTTCACAGCTAGAGTGGGATTTTACAAGGATGTGCACAGATAAGTCTAGGAGAAGGTTAGGGACTCTTCCCAAAGTTTGATGGAGCAAAGTATCTCTGTCACCATGAGAGCTGTTTCTCGGGTTAAATGCTAAGCTAGTTAGAAGAGAAAGCCAAATTTTGCATCTGAGAACTTAAAACACCCAGCACAGCCTACAGAACTAAGCAGAGGAGAGCAGGCCTCTCCAGGTGAAGAGAAGGTGAAAATGCACTGGCTTCCTCCCAGGATTACCCAGATTAGAGTCAGAAGGATACAGGAAGAGTTGCACCACAGCTGAGGAGTGGATATGCCTGGTGAAAGCCATGAGCAATAGCAACCGTGAAGGTGCTTGAGGGTGGTTAACAAGGAGAGCCTCCACCTGAAGGAGCTGGGTTCAGTCCTAGTGACAAGGGAGTGGGGAGAGAAGGGGGCGAGGACAGGGGTCAGGAATTAAAGAAAATAAAATTTGAAGAAATCAGAAAAAGACAATGGAATTCAGAAGGAAAGTTATTCTAGGGAAAGTAGTTTGGGAGTAATTCCGTGCCTAGTATGTGTAAGGAATTAGATTTCTCACACTGCTGAGGGAGTGTCCAGTTTCTCTGACCACAAGTAGCACACAGTTGCCTTTCCTGTCCTTGCGTGGAGATGCACTAATTCAGCTAAAATCTTTCATTACAGCTACAATTGCCAGGAGGTTCAACACTATGTACCATGGATCTATTCTGCTTCATTTCGTGGATTATAAAGGTCGCTGCATGATCCCTGGTCACTGCATGAATGCAATGATTTAAGAACTATTGAGGACCTTTTAAATGACATCATCAAGGTTATGTGGCTTACAGGGGGTGGAGCCAGAGTTTGAATGGCACCGTCACTAGTCACTATTCCTAAACCAGCTTTCTTAGCTCTCTGTCATAAAGACTCCTGCAGGATGAAAACTTGCTCTCGGTGTTTTAATTCTTCATGTTTTCACAGAAGACAATATAAAAGACCTATCTCTGAATTAATACATAGGTCATCTCTTTCACAGATTTGTTAAAGTCACGCCTTGGAATTCAACTCCCAGCATCCTCTCTGCCACTCTCCCATGATTTAACCATTGAACTCACTGCGCAGCACCTCTCTGCACCCTCGGTGGTCTGTGGCTAACTTTGGTCGGCCGTTAGTGAGGCTGAGATGACAGGAGATCTGGCAAGTGAAGGAGCTGGGTTGGTTTGGCTCTACTTCCATCCTTTCCCATGTGAACACACAAGTTGTGGTTCAAAACACCGCTTAACCTTCTTACAATTGACATGGGCTTCTTACCAGGCTTGGCGAGACTGGACATACTCTCCAGACTGAGGATGTGTGGTTTGTTCATCTTCTGGAGCAGCTGTGAGAGGAAGTTGGAGGAAGAAACAGGAAATTTCATTTCTGCTGCATGATCACTGTCTTGCTGCTTTATATAAATTATATCGTGCACTGAAGTGGTAGGGATTATAGTTGCCTTGGGAGGATGTGGTGATCTTAATTCCCTGAAAAGTTTCCAAGCTCACATTGCTTTAAAGAACAGAAAAAGAATTATTTCCATCTTATCTGATTACAAGCTCTCTGCATAGTACAGCAAAGGGCAGGTGTTACCTAGAGGTAAAGAATTAGAAGATTATAAGACATTGAATGGGTCATTTTTGGTTATCAGCCACCCGGTGTGTGTGACCACTAATGCCCCAGACTCTCGGAAAAGAACTTCACAGGTGTTAATGAGTTTGATCCCACAAAATAGGTGCAATTATTTCTAATTTGCAGAGAAAGCAAAGAAAAAAAAAAGGCTTAGAAAAATGAGAAGTAATTTGCCTGGAATTGGACACCAGGTGATCTTTCTAGATCCCTTGCTCTGTCTTTCAGCTCTCCTTTGGAGTCTTGTTCCTGACTATATGTGTTTTTCCCCTACTTTGTCCTCAGTTCTTTCCCAAACAAACATGTGAGTGTGTGGGTGTGTGTGAGCACATGTGTGTGCAGACATTAATGTGTGCTTCTTAACTGCCATGTACTCTTCTGATCCCCTGATTTAGCTTTAATGAAAGCTTCCCCACAATGCCACACATTACTGGACAGTTGCCACCCTGTGTCGCGGCTGGGAGAATGAGGCTCTGGCAGCTGACCACTTGCTCAGCACCATACAGATGTCCAAGGGCTGGGCTCACTCAACTCAGCTGAAGGTTGACACTAATTGAGCCCTGCCACCTCCTCTATCCACGGAGCCACAGAGTCAGTCCTGTCCACCCCTCCGACAAAGACTTCCATGAGCTCCCACTATTCAGAAACAAATTTAAGGATGTGAGGACATGAAAGGCACTTCGCACTTTGGTTCTGACATCCTGCTTTCATTTCTCCTTCTATCGTTCCCATCTCCTCAGGAGGACTTGCTAGTCCTTCCTTTTCTTGGAAGGACTCTGCCTTTTAGAATCATGTTTCCTAGAGGGCTTTTCCCATGAAGCATTCTCCATTTCTCTGTACACAGGGCTCTGCCTTCTAGTCATATTCATATTTATATAATAACACCTGTCTCACTGCCTTGTGCAGTACTGCAATGTTTGTCCCTTTTGCATCCAAGATGAGACTCTGGATGTCTTGAGGTAATAGCTGTGCTTCCTTAATGTTCTCGAAGCACCTGATGGGCCGTCCAGGTTGTTGACCTTCAGTGAACATAGCTGAAGGAGCGTGTGAGTGAGGGAAAGGAAACATGGAGGGTCTTGCTGATGTAAGAGGAAAAAAATCATTCAGTGACTAAATTAGCTTTCACAGTACATCAGAATTATATATATTAGACATGTGAATAGCATCTATATGAATTTCCACATTGCTCCCATGTGTCAGAGTACAGACCCCAGTGGACAAGGACCGTGGGCTGGGCAGATCACACCTACTGACTTTCCTTGTATAGACGCTTCCAAGGCAGCTCTTTAAAGAAGCTCTTGATGGGTATCCAGCTCACCCCTTCTAGGCAGCTGCATATGGAGGTGTCGTGTCCACTACAGAGGTCACCATGGAGGTCAGCACAAAGGTCAGGATGAAGGAGAATGGGGCCACTCTTTTGGAGCAGATCCCTTGTTAACTTTGGAAACATGGCCTGCCTTCTTATCTGGACCATCAAGTGAAAAACAAAAACTTATATCTCATGTACTTTATAAACATGTGGACCTACATGTTAGCTATTACACCCACTGGTATATCCTGAACGTCTTCCTACCAGTAATAATCCCTGCGTGGCTTCCTCAGGAGGACCTTTCCTGGCTCCTCAATCTAAACAGTTTTCCCTGTTACATCCTATTTTGGAAATCAACTCCTCTCTTTTACAAAATATGGCAAGACTTAAAAATCCCGATTTTGTCTCTCCCTCACTAGCTTGGGAGCTTCCTGAACACAGTGCAGCCCCCCAGCATTAACGTGCTGGTACATCACTGATTCCCAATAAATACATGTTCAGTGAGCATAGACAACATCATAATAAGAGCAGGGACAACCACTACACAGTATTTTGGGAATTTTAATATTAACTTTATTGCAGAAATGTAATAATTGCAACATTATGTGGCAAAGTCACTAATCGCATAACTACCTCATTTTATAGGAGAAAGTTGGCTTAGAAAAATATGATCACCCAACAGGGCCACACAGTCAAAGCCTGCAGGTTCCAGTCAAGAGCTCACTTGTCCTTTATGAATGCGGTCAGCCAGCAGCCAGGTGTGAAATACCTGGACAGCTGTGCAAATGAAATTCACTCTTGCTGTCCCTGCAGCCTCAGAGCTTTGTGAATGACTGCTCTGGCAGGCAGTTCCATGATATCACCTCTGAACACCAGCCAGCTCTCTTATGAAACTGTGGCCCTTACATTCTTCTCTCTAGTTGCCACACAAAGAAAGGCAAAAATACTGTTTATAACTTAAAAACCATTTCAAAAGTGTGTCATTGCAGGGGATACAGCTCAGTGGCATAAGCACTTGCTTGGCAAGTGCAAGCTCCTCAGTTCAAGTTCTGCTACTCCTTCCCACCAAAAGTATGTTGTTGATTCAAAATGAAGCATGCAGAAAAATTCCTTTGAAATCCACATGATTCCCACAGCAGAAACCACAATTTTTTTCTTATTTTTGAGTCAAGGATTTGAACTGAAACTTACTTATCCTCCAGACTACGCATGACTGTCCTCTGACTGCATGTTTATGGTTAAACATTTCCCTCACACACCACATGAACTTGGCCAAGAGATGAATACTTAGCAAAAGGACAATTTGTTTTTAATTGTAATTAAGCTTTCAGAAATAGTGGGAAAAATATTACATCAGGAACTAAGAGCTGAGGGTCTCAGTCAGAATTGGCCAATGTGGTAGACATACCACAGGAATATTTACCCTTAAGCTGCAGTTAAATGAAATGAAAGACAGTGCTAGCCACAGTGTAGGTGCTTAGAGTACAGTGTCCAAGCAGCGAGCACATTGGACAGTGCTGATTATGGACATCTTTATCCTTGCAGTGCATTTTATCGGGCAGTGCTTCTCTAACAGTGATTCTAAACTTTGCACCCAAGATAAGTTTTTTAGAGGTTGCATGCAGAGCCTTCACACTGAGATATCTCCCTGTCCCTTTTTTAAGACGGGGTCCCAGTTTGGTTTCAAACTTTCCATCCTCCTACCTCAGCCATCCAGGATGCTGGGATTACAGCTGTGCACAATCGAATCCAGCCAGATTCCTTTAAATTCTTGAAAATGGCCAAGGTAACTTAAAGTGCCTTTTAAAAAATATGGATTATATCCATTGATAGTTGGTGTATTAGAAATTAAAGCTCCGGAAATATAAAATGTCAAGGCATGCTCTATTGGCCATCAGATTGCTGTCTTGCATCAGAGCCCTGCAAGGCCCTGATGAGTGGAGAACTGGAGGGAGAGGTGAGAGCATCTGAGTCACCACAGGTGTCCTGGCCTCATAGGTGCTCTGCAGGTGTTCTGGGGCCTCCAGGGGTGACAGCCTCCATCACTAGGTCACTAATTCTCTTGTTCTCATTTATTCCTAAGTGCGCATGGTGCTAATTTTGCCCAAAGATTCTGTGAAAGTTTGAGAGTTTGGCTAAGTAAAAATGAAACAATCTTCTGATAGACAATCTTTATCAAAGCCAGAGTCTCTTGAGAAAGAAGAAAACTGTGGCCCTTGCTGTGAGGTTACTCCTGCCTGAACTGAAAACTGAAGGACTCCGATGTGTATACTGACCACAGAGTGAATTAGGTGCACTGTAACGACTTCTCCAACTTGGCCCCAGGAGATTTTTTTCCTTAATATGCATGGAAAAGTGCACTAGCTTACACTGAATGTCACAGGCAGCAATTTGATATTTATACTGAGATCTTCCTGATTTGTGTTCACCATGGTAACAGCACATTGAAAGGAGAACTTAAAGGATCCTTATGCAGCACAAATGATAAGATTCAGAAAATATCCACATCCACAGTGTGACCCAAATGTACCAAAATCATTTCCTCCCCAGCATAGTGGCACATATCTGTGATCTCAGCCACTTATGAGGCTGAAGCCGGAAAAATGAAAACCGGAGGCCAGCCTGGGCAGTGTATCAATATGCTATCTAAAAATAAAAATTTTAAAAGACTAAGGATGTATGTAGGTCACTTGCAGAGTGTTTGCCTACCATGCACAAGACATTGGGCTCAGTCCTAACTACAGAAAAAAAAATTATTTTAGAATGTTTGGTTTTTCACTGTATAACTATGGGCTCTTTTTCCTTGTTTCTAAAAATGTGAAAGCATTCCACACTGCATGACATGCTGACTTTTCAGAATGAACACTCTCTGTTGATGCACAGTTCTTAAAAATAGCAATTATCAAGTAGAACTGAGTCACTGGTAAAGCATATCCTGTTAGTTTAACCTCAACCTGCTTTGCAAAGATACTGTTAATAAAGATGATTCTTTTCTGGGAATTTTAAAATGTTCACTCTGGTAATGTTCTATCACTTTTTTTTTTTGTACCAGGAATTGAACTCAGCATCTTGCACTTGCCAGGCAGGTGCTGTGCTGCTGAGCTACGTCCAGACTATTGATATTTATGCTTATATTTTTGTGGTACTGATCTAAGTAAATATTCTGCAATTTTATTACCATCTGTCCTCTGTGTCACCCTCTTCTGGGTGTCATTCTGCAAGTACAGAATGCTTCAGACATCAGGGAAGGGTCCTTATCACAGGGCCAGGGTAGACCTGCTCTGTAAACTTTACATTGTGTGACCAGGCACTGTTTCCTCCTCTTTTTCCTAGACAATCCCAATTCACACTTCAAGCTCTACAGAGATGCTTTCCAGGTGAGGTGACTGTAGGCCCTGAAAAGAAGC